GACAACAAGGGGTATAAAAGTTATAAAACTAATTATTAGACAAATACTGTATTTATATGATTGTTATGTATATTTCCAGAGAAGTGGATGTCTCGCAGATTCCCGCATATCTCGCGTATTTGGTGGACATCAAAGTGGACGGCCTATACATCTGCGGCACCACCGGTGAGGGCTATAGTCTGACCCACGACGAGAAGATTGCTATCGTGAAGGCCTGGCGTCAGGCCATAGACACCCAGAAGGCTAACCATCTGTTGGCTGTGGTGAACGTGTCGTCTACTTGTCTTAAAGAGTCGCTTCTCCTATCAAAACACGTGGAAAGTCTGGGTTTCGATGCAATCGCCGTTTTGCCGCCGATTTATCACAAACCGACGACTGTTGACGAGTGAGTTAACTATATGAAGGCGTTTGGTAGGGCGGCGCCCACTATACCCCTCTACTACTATCATAACGTCGGACGTGTAGGGGATATGAGTTGTAAGTGACGAGTAGTTTACGACTGATTTGAATGTGTTTTTTGGCAATTAATAGTCGATTTGATGCAAGCGGTCGGCGAAGGTGTCAAACAAATCCCACAGTTTTCTGGATTTAAAGTATAGTTTATTTTATGACATGTGTTTTGAGTGAAAACTATAGTTTTTTTGTTACGAAATAGTTTGCAGACAACGATTTCCTTCGCTTTTCATTATTACATAAAAAGTTTAGTAAAGACTTGAAATTCTTTTTGAGTACTGAAGAGGTATGTAGTAATGCTCTCTCTCTCTCTCTCTCTCTCTCTCTCTCTCTCTCTTAAAATATTAATTATTAATTTTAATGATACTTATCTAACAATATATAAATTATATAGATATTGATAGCGGCGTTGACAGGACTGGACTCCCGGGCGGCTAACTGTGCGCTGTTTAACTTCGGACCAGTGGTGGAGTGCTATAAGAAAATGGTGTCATTCGTGGATCAGTCAGACCTCGACAGCGCCCGCGAAGAGCAGACAAAAATCATCGGCGAGTCTATGAAACACCAAATGAGTGGTAATTACTTCGTGTCCGCTAAGAAGCAGTTCAACGCCGATGTCAAACACCTGGGTATTAATGTCGGCGCGGCACGACCTCCCCTATGCTACCAATATGAGTGGTAATTGGTTTGCGACTATAAACTATAAGGATTATTATTTTTCAATTTTAACGTTAATGTTAATTCAATTTAATACATAAGTTTATTATTTATCAATTAAATGAATTTATTTTCTAACATTAAAGGTTCGATTCCTAATTTTTCAATTTTTTCGATTGCCCAACTTTATCGGGTATATGATCATAATATCTGATGGACCAAAATCAAACTTATATCTGAAAAGTTGCTTTAATTTCTTCTTGAAACATTGCTTTTCTGTAAAGTTTGAAATTTATAAGGTTTAATATAAGTAAATTTCAAACTTTACAGAAAAG